GGTATTCGGCGAGTCGCATGAAGGGTGCGCTGCATCCTGCTAAGGGTGTTCGGCATCTTGTGCTTACTTCCTTGCGTACGGATGACAGCTACGCATGACTTAATTAATTTTCTGGTGCTTTCACTTCCTGAGACATTTGTAGGCAGGGGTGGGTGGGTATTATTGTTGCCACACCATTATCACCCGACCCACTACAACTTGTGAATGTGTTCCAGACAGCCATCATTTCGGGTTGGCAGAGGTCGTGGGATAGGTGCCTGCCTTCTCTCTTCCGCTATTTGCCACAATCTGTTCGTCTCTGTTCTCGGCCGTACATGCCACCCATCGACAACAGTAATGGTAACAACAACGGCAACAGCAAAAGTGACGGCGTCACCATTGAGTGACCCGGCGCTCTGCTGCTGGTCTCTCCTCTCCCCCACTCAGGCGACCCGGTGGTGGCCGGCACCCGCGTCCACGTAGGCGGACTGAACTTCGACGTCATGGACGAAGACATCAAGGAGCTTTTTGCCGGCGTCGGAGACCTGCTGCACTGCAAGGTTCGATGCTTGCTTGTTGTTTTCGTGAGGCTGTTGGCGTTTCTGTTTGTGCGTGTGGCTGCTCTTGCGTTTGCTCTTGCGTTTTTTTTGCTTGTCTGGTTCTCTGAGGCCGTTGTCGTCTCCGGTGGTATTGTTGGTCGTACTTGTGGTGGTATTTGTGTTGCAGGTGGTGGTGTTGCTGACTCCTCCTTCCGCCCGCAGCACGTACGCGAAAGAAATGGGAAATGTTGTCAGACAAGGTTGGTTGTGCACACCGCCGTAGAGCGCGATTTCTGCATGGGTGTTAATCCTTCGCTGTCCCACCCAATCCCCAAGATTGGCATTGCCAAGATGAGGCAAAACGATAGATACAGCGCCCAGAATCCCATGATATGTAGGAATGGCGCTTTCTCTCGAGAGAACCATGTGTAGTCTCCATCAACGTCCGATCATTTTTGCGTTTGAGGTGCACAGTTACTACAGCAGTTGGCAGTAGAGCCTACCCGACAAAATCACACCGTGCAACGTACCCAAACGAATTCTCTATTATCATCTACCAGCGTAAGCGGCACTTCAGGTGCGCGGTACCGGGGTTCTTGCCTAAAATGGGGGCGTGGCACAGGCGATTCTTGACGAACTTCAATAGCCAGCAGTAGGTACATCATCAGCAACGGTTTGGCGTGTATCTCTGCCGATCTATTTGTTTCGCGATGCAGATCGATTACGACCGTGCGGGTCGCTCCAACGGCAATGCCGTGGTGATCTTCAAGAGGAGAGAGGACGCAGAAAACGCGGTCTCCCAGTTCCACAAGCGGACTCTTGACGGCACGCCCATGCATGTGGAGATCGTGGAGGGAGGGGGTGCCGCAGAGTCCGCTCGAGGCGGCGTGCGGGGAAGGGGCGGAGGCGGCGGCGGCGGCGGCGTCCCGACGTGGAGAGGTGCGTGTGTGCGTTTTTTTTTTGGTAAGGTGCACCGCACGGGCTGACCAATTAAATACCACACGCCAGTCTCAGAGTGGCGATTGTGTGTTTGTGTGTGTCTTCAAGGGGTTGAAGAACAAGCTAGCTAGACGCTGGCCCTATTTTAACACTCGAATCCAGTATAAACGAGGAGAGCAACCTTTCCGCTGTGTAGGTTCTTCGGATTGTACAGTATTCAGTAGAGGACACGATGAAGAGGTGTCCTGTATGCTGGCAACTTGCCCGAACCACACGCTTCTGACAGCCGTGCTCACTGCCACGGACCGTAAAACCCTGAACGGAGGGTCGTCAGCAGTAGCTAGTGGCATCAGCTACTGCAGTCGACCCGCAGGTCAGGAGATAGGGGTCAGTGGCGACGCGCAAAAGCAGGACAAAGCAGTCTTTGTCCAATTTGCGGAGATGTAGGCCGCTGACACTATGCTACCCTCGATATCATCACTCAAGAAGCAGATTTGAGCTCGCTATCACACACACCGCTGCTACAGGGTGTCCTCTAGGGATATCAGTAGAAGGAATAGAACCCAGTGCAAAACCGACGTTGTTTTAAGCGCCTGTCGTTTTGGCAATTTTGACATGAATTTTGACCGGCGTGGATTTTTTATCTTTTCGAAGGAGGCGTGTGGAGGTAGACGCGTGAAACGTATGTTCAGAGCAGCTCCTACTGCCGCTCTGTGCGAGAATCAATTATATCTGTTTCTCGCGATGCCTTCCGAGTGGTGTCGTGTGTCTCTTGTGCCGTGCCTTATCGGGTGCTCTTGCGCTTGTTTCTTGGTTGTTAACATCTAACTTCTTTGCTTGCCATCCCCCTAAGACAGCTGTCAATGAAACGACGTCCAAGTGTGCGTGTGTGCGGTTGTCTCGACTTATTTATTGGCATCGACCGCTCTAACCCGCAGATAAATGAAGGCGTCGTGTCTATCTTTGTGTGTGCTTCTTTCTTAGCATCAAATTGTGCGGTCTCAAAGTTGAATTTGTTCGGTCTCACCGATAGCCGCCTTGGACGCGTTGGAGCCCGAGGTGTTCCTAACTTCGGGGGGGGGGCGTACTCATTTGTTGCTTGCCGTAGTCATTTGACCATTGACCACGCGTCCCTTTCGAGACGGAGCACCGTTCCTACCCCTACTAGAGACACCACCAACATTTGGGAGCTCTTCACGTTTCTGCCACAAACTACATAAAAATTCCTTGCACATGTTATCCCCGTCCTCTACGGCCTCTTGTGCCCACCATCTATCCCCAATTCCCGCGATCGTTTTTTCGCTGTTGTCTAATTTACCAAACTTGTCCATGTCACACCCTCTCTGTCTCATGTCCTCCTCGAGATCCTCTCTTTCCTTCCTGTACAGCTCACACTCCCCAACTATGTGGGGTCTACTCTCCTCCGATTTGCCACATGGACATGTCTGTCTATCCTCCTCTTCCTCTCTCCTACGGCTGCTGTACCTCTTCCTCCGTTCTGGCAAGTCCAGATCGCCTACTCGAAATTGCAACTTCAGTTTTTTTGCGTAGTCCATGGGGCCGTCCAAGTAACTCTTCCTCCCTATCCCCTCTTTCAACTTCCCGTATATCTCCAAGTGGTCTTCGCTTCGTACCTTCTTCCGAAGGGTTGCCTCCTCCCT